TTACTGCAATAATATGTAGCCAGCAGATTTTGATTGACAGTGCACAGAAAGTTATAATTCCTATTCCACAAATGCTGATGAATATTCAGTAAGCAAGGACAACTATAATGTTCTTGAAAAATATGTATAAAAAGGTAAAAAAAATGTACTTCACATGTCACTTTGAGTTTTGAATGTAAGCATATCCAGCAATGAAACTTGCTGCTTAATTCATATATCATGACTGCTATCTAATATAAATTTGAGGGAGTTTTTATAATTTAGTGAATATTTACATGTATTTTTGAATGGGCAAAAAAAGGCTAAACAAATCAAACATATATTCATTTGAAATATTGAGGATGTATAATAGAAAATCATATGTAGTTTAAAGATAATGTGTACAGCATAATATAAACAGAAAAGCATATAAACAATTGATTTCAACTTAAGAAGTATTAATTTTCAAATTTGAATATAATGAGTATAATTTCAGAGCACATATATCACTTCAAAATATAATTAATAGTATAAGTATAAAAAATAAATTGAAGTCTTGACATTTGGGTTATATAGGAGACAGAACATTCATTTTTAGCACAAGAGTTTATTTTTAAGACACAGAAAGGACTGCATTCTCATTTCACATTTACTTCAAGACCCAGATTTTGTGAAGTTGGCTTTTTTTCCTTTATAATGTCATTCTCCTGAAATCCTCCAAGAGAAGAAAGCAAATCACAAGTCAATATTTGGCTTGGACATTTTTCTGATTAATGGGAGAAGGTCTCTAAAACACTTTGTGCAATTTCACAGGTTTATCCATAGCCAGACAATCAAAATCTTTATGAGTAATCATAACTCTGATTTTTGGCAGTTTTCACTGCACTTACATGTCAATTCTCAATTTCTTACAAATGTCTCACTGCCACTAGGTTCTATAGTCCATTTTAATAAGTCGTATTTTATTTTGCGTTTTTTTTTTCTAACATCAGGTAAGAAACTACAGATAGTAACATAAGAACGGTGTGTTTCTTTGCTGGTAGTCCTTATTTTAGAAAAACAGAATAATGATAGTACAGTCTAGTCTGCATCGGCATCATTTTAATGACTGGGAGGCATATGTAACTAATGCTGTTATGGAAATAGATTATGACTTAACACAGAAATAGAACATTTGTTTTTCTGGGATAAACAATGATATAATTCATCAATTGCAGACAAGCCAAGAGAGTGACACAGAAAAATATATGTTATAAAAAAAAGTGGCATGGTATATTTAAGAAGAGACAATGTCCTCTTTTAACCTAAATCTATTCAGAAAGCCATCTTTGTAAATTTTATGTAATTACAGAATGTATTTTACATTAACTACTAAGAAAAACTGACATGACATCCCTGCATGCCCTTCTAAACTTTATAATCACTAAAAATCTTCTTATAGACTCAGTTTTGTTGACTGTTGAAAATAAAAGCTGCTATATAACAAGTCCTTCGTGACAAAATCAAGTCAGTCTTCCTCCTGCTCTAACCTTGTTTTGTATTGCTGACAGTGATCATTGTTTTATAAATCTGTAAATTAATCCTTTTGGGCATTCTCTATTCACCTGTATTGGTATTATATTATATTTTTGCCTATGGTTCATGGTTTACTTTACACAGATCTCCTGGGCTCCAATTTTGTTTGTTTTCAAGAACTTTTAGTGCTATGCTTTTACATGCATTAGATCACTCACATGAGGTTGACCTTCTGGACATACTCTTCTGAGGCTCTGTTTAAATTTCTTATTCCCTTCCTGTGATAATGATATTCTGGTAACATTCTCTTCTCTTCCATTTTTAAATCAGTCTTAATTCCACTATCGATGGTGGTAAGGGCTGAATCGGGACCCCCTAATTTAATATAGTGAAGTCCTTGTACTTGGTGTCTCAGAATGTGATTGCATTTGGAGACAGGATATTTAAAGTGGTAATTAATGTAAAATAAGGTCATTAGTTGTGGTGCTAATCCAACAGGAGTGGTTATTCGAAGAGTATACAGACATATCCAAAGGGAAGAACATGTGAAGACACAGGCAGGAGAAGACAAATATCTTCAAGTCACGGAGACATGCCTGAGAAAGTGCCAGCTCTGACTACTCCTTGATCTCAGGCCACTAGATGATTCCAACTGTGATTGAATAAATGTATGCTTTTATATCACCTTCTCTGTGGCATTTTATTATGGAAGCCCTAGCAAACTAGCACAGATTTGTATATATATGTATATATATATATATATATATACATATGATGAATGGAAAACGTACATTAATCTCTGCACCACCTACTCCACCCTCCATCAAACTCCCTTTCTAACACTATATTAGAGTAGAAAAGATGTGCTTTCAAGAATGGAAAAAATTACAAAGATAGTATCTGCTGATGAAAGGCTAAGACAAATGTTGCAGAGCAAATGATAAGATGGTAATTTAGCAGTACATAGAGAGCTGAAACTTTCTGTGTTACATAGCAAGGAATGAATGAGAAACAGGATTCTGGATTGGAGAACAAAAGAATATTCATAAATTATTTATAGAACAAGGGGGTATGGAATGTGGATTAAAAATAAGAGGGATTGGATAGAAAATTTTCAATGTGAAGTTCAAGTGAAATGGATTTACTCTTCTACTCTAACATATTCAGGCATAATATGAGTGGATTACTCTATGAAGAAAGTGGCCAAAAGCTGCCCAACACTTATGGACCTCAGGCAAAATTGAAGCTTGGGGTGAATGTGAAAAAACACAGATATTGATTGGGGAAAAAAATCTACATTTTTTAAAAGATGTATTTATTTTATATAAGAACTGGGGTACAGGCCAGATGGGAGGGAGGGTGAGAGGATTCATCAGAGACAGAGCAGGGAACAGAAGAGGTAGACTGATGAAACATACTGCTGAGGGGAGCAGCAGGCGAGACAGGAGGGGTCTGCTTCACATGTGGGATTCTCACTGGCTGGCCAGGATCGCACCTGCGCCGCAGAGGCCGCGGACAGCTTCATAGTGCTGCGTTCAGCTGCTTGCGCCATCAGGGGAGGCCCAAAAAATCTACATTATTGAATAGTGAGTATCTCAGCACTCTTTCTCACTGTGGTTCCCAGATAATTAAAGACAGGCATCATTTATTTTGGCCCTCTGGGAGAATTTTGGAAATTTCAAATAACAAGATTTGAATATTCTCTAACAAAATGACCAGTTAACCTAACATGAAAGAGAAGTGCACTAAAGTATGAACTCCAACCACGAACGGGATTTCTAAGAAAAATTATTAAGTGTCTCATTTCAAATATAAATGAACAACCCATGGTCATTAGACTGTTGAGAAAATTCTTCATTGTGATAAACAATACTAAGAACTAATACAAATAAAATAAGTTTTTAGGAAACAGAAAGTGAAGAGAAAAAAACATCAAAGAAACTAATATTCATAGTGAAGGAAAAATAATGACTCCCTTAAAAATAATATATAGAAAACAAAAAATTATTTTGAAATACACAAAATAACATGAAAACTAACTTCTAAACTTATAAGATGGAAATAAACTTAAAAATTTTTCTAGAAGTTGGAACCAGGGAAATGGGAAAAAAACAAAATTAGAGTATTGATCTATAAATACTAACATTCAATAAATTTTATTTTTTTAATTAAAGCAAATGCAAAGGAGAAAATAATAAAATTCTATAATTAAACTTCCAAGAAATGAAAATTACAAAGGGAAACATTACCCACACCAAGGACATGTTAGCTCAAAAGACTACAAAGCAAAATAGTTTAAAAGCTTATAGGATGAGGAATGTAAAGATAAATAGAAAATAACAATCACAGTGTTTCTGGAGTGTGGCAGTATTAAAGATAAGATCGGAAGATAGATAAAAAGGAAGGTAATGATTTTTCAAATTTCTCAAGAAGTGTTAATGCTCATGAATATACTTAAGGATATTAGCCATTATATAGGATTATTCAAATCAAGCAATTCAAAATTCCATTCAAAATATATTTTTAAGATTTATTTATTTTTGCACAAGAGCTGGGATACAGGGCAGAGGTGTGGGAGGGTGAAAGGATTCACCAGAGACAGAGCAGGTAGCAGAACAGGCAGACTGACCGAAATACACTATTGAGGGGAGCAGCGGGCCAACAGGAGAGGTCTGCCAGGCAATGTGGGAATCTCCCTGGCCAGCTGGGAATTGAAACTGCACTGCAAAGGCTGCAGACAGCTTCACAGTGCTGTGCTCAACCTGCTGCACCTCCAGGGAGGCCCCCCCCATTCAAAATATTTTATAATAAACTATTAATAACATTTTATCCAACACAAAGAAATGATGCAAGAGTGATATTCAACTAAACTACAGAATTTACCATGAAAATGGCAGAAACTAGCTTCCCAATTGGGGTAGCCCTCTACCAATTTTCACTTAAGTGAAAGAGAAGACACTGTGAGGGAGATGTATGGTAATCTTCATCAACTCCTCTATACAGGGAGAGGAATGTGTATTATCTATTTGAAGTCAAGTCTAGCAAATGAGGAATTCAAGTTAACCACTGAATACATATATGATGCCTGTGTAATATGTGAGTAAAAAGTAACTGGACACTGATTACTTCCCACAAGGTTCAATGTAGACAGACTCATCTATAAGTTGACCCAATCCATGACATATTTTCTAAAACAAACCAAAAATTCTTAAAATCTTCTTCTTCGTGCTTCTTACAGACTGTTATTTTGAAAAATAAGCTATATGCCATAATCAACACAGGTAGTTAGTGATATCCCCTTGGTAATCTGTTTCCTCAAATATTCCCTTTCTTCCAGTATACTTAAGTATTCCTAATATATGGAAAAGCCCTCTTTTGACCAAACAAAATCTGATATAAAGTTTGTTAACAGAAATCCTGGACTTGAATCAACATCACATCCCAAACCATACACAAACATTTATACCCATTGGAGAAAAAAAGAAAATATTGACGATCTGGATTACCTTTCTAGGATTTGGTTGAGTTTCATGGAGGACAATTTATAGCTCATCTTCAACCATGTGTTTGGTTCCTGAAACTATTCTGAAAGCTCAGGTATATGCTATTAAGAAAAATTCCACATCACTATTTTAGGCAAAGACAGTTTCTCCATGTTAACTCATCATTTATATAGTTTCCTCTGTTGATCTTTACTCTCGATTTCAAAATGTTCCCTTTGCTTGTCAGATTGCCATCTTTGGCTTCCTCTGAAGACTTTCCAAGTCTCTCCTTCAATCTTTTCATGCACTGGTACATTCCTATAAGTATATGAAACATGAGAATGTCACCATGACTCTAGAAAGGGATTATCTAAATCTGCATAATGCCATTCTCATAAAAAAAAATATTGTCTGATGGTTAATAAAGGATTAAAGATAGTAAATCAGTACTATTTTATCCTAATTCCTTGGATACCTGGTTAGATGTAATATGTGCCTGTTGTCATGGGTTTGGTATTTTTGGATGTTCAGATCACTGTAATTATATACTCCTTCTTCAACATTATGAAAGCCAGTCTCTAAAGGAGACTTCCTGATGTACAGCATACTGATTATCCTGTCACACTAGACTACATTTTTTCCTTCTACTATTCTTACTGCCATTTCATCCTAAAACATTAAATGAGATGGTGAGAAAATACAGATCTTCTGAATGCTGTTCTATATTAGTGAAATCTTTCCTTTTAAGACTTAACCAGTGACTAGTGACTTTTTAGTCAAACAATCATGCATACAGATGGCAAGTATTTTTCTAACTTGTATATGTATCTTTTATTGACTTACTCATAATCATTCTCATTTGACACTGTTCATTTCAGAATTGAGGGAATAGTGAGTTGAAAATAGAAATAACATAAGTGGAAGTAAAATGTCTTGTTTTCAAATACTTAAAGTATATAAAAAGCAAAAATGATTTATTCTTAAATATTTATCTAGTGGGAAAAATAATGAGCAACATGTTCCTTGAAACTAAAGAAATAACATACTTAAGTATAAGTAAAATGCCTTGTTTTCAAATACATAAAGTCTAAGAAAAACAAAAATGATTTATTCTTAAATATTTATCAAGTAGGAAAAATAATGAGCACTATGTTCCTTGAAACTAAATAGTACATGTTTTTTATATGACTGTGTATGTGTGTGAGTATAAACTTTCATATGTAGCAGAAGGAATCTATACCTTCTTTTTATCTTTGTATATCTGTTGACAGAAGGAAATTTCAGGGATATCATAATGATGGCTTTTAAGATTAACTATTAATAAATTTAAAATAATTATGTGACATTTAATTGACTTCCCTTTTAAATAAGCTTCTATCAATACTTATGTCTGCTTTATTGTTCTTACTTTTGAATTATTCAATAAATGAAGAGTCTGCATCATCATATATAATTAGAGAATGCAAATATAGGTACAGAAAATGGAATAACCGGGCCTCCCCGGTGGCGCAGCAGTTGAACGCTAGGTTGCGAAGCTGCCTGCAGCCTCTGCAGTGCTGGTTCAATTCTGGCTGCTCCCCGGCCACTGGTGGAGGGTCCCACATGGTGCGCAGACCTCTCCTGCTGCCTGCTGCTCTTCTCAGCAGTGCACTTTGGTCCTTCTGCCTGCTCTGCTCCCCGCTCTGGCTCTGGTGAATTATCTCACCCTCCTGCGCTTCTGAGTGTACCCAGTGCTTGTATAAATAAATAAATAAATCTAAAAACAAACAAACAAGCAAGCAAAAACCTTTAAATTGAAAAAAAAAAAAAAGCATAACTGGTAAGGAAGACAAAATGAGAATGACCCTAATAAAACACATAAAGCACTTGGAGGAAAATGCCATAAACCAATGTGATTTTTTAGAAAGCTTATTCTGTCCATAGTAGGAAGAATAGATAAAAGAGGACTAAAATGCCACAGGAGAGCTCAGTTAGTGGTTAGTTGCAATAATCCAGGTGAGAAACTGCTTTTTGTTTGTTTGTTTGTTTTAGCTAGGGCTTTTTCAGTGCATATGGACAAAAGTAGGAAAAAATCACATTTAAGAGTATGAATATAGGACTTGTGATAAATTGGGGAGAATGCACAAAAGAAAGAAAAAAAGTGAAGATGGTACCCAGATTTCTTTCTTTTTCTTTTAAACATTTATTTTTATTTATTTATACAAACAAGAACTGGAGTGTAGACCAGAGGTGCAGGGGGTAAGAAGATTCACCAGAGACAGTGTGCAGAGCAGAACAGGTGGAGCCACTGAAATACACTGCTGAGGAGAGGTCTACTACACTGTGTATGTGAGCTCCCTGGCCAAGGATAGAATACATGCTGCAGTGGCTGGCAATGGCTTGACTTTAACCCTGTATCACCAGGGAGGCCCAGTGCCCACATTTCTTACTTAACATTTTGGACCTAGTGGTTATTTTGAGCTTTGGGTTAATTCAAGGTATCACATGAAGACACCTAATGTCCATTAAAAATAAATGGGTTCAGAGTTAAGTGAGAGTAAGGAAACTGGCTTAAGTATGATACATATGGTATAATTGAATAGTAAGTAGTTTTCTTTTTTTTTTTTTTTGTCTTTGAATTAAAGACTAGATCTCAGGCTACATAACCCAGGAGGGACTTCCAAAGGAATTGCAATTAGAAGTAGAAGTAGCTGCTAGAAGGAAATACTAGCATCTCACCTTTGGTCTAAATTCTGATTAAGCTGGAAAAGTCCAAATGTTCCTCTTTATTGTCACCATTGAACTACATGTGAGAGGGAGTTCTGGAAAGTACTTGATATGCTGCCTGTTTTTTGCCTAAATATTTCTCAAAGTAGTAATCTTACTGGAACAGAGCATGCATGTGAACAAGGGAGTAAGTTCAGAGTTCCAGGCAAGAAGACTCCCCACTGTTCAGTTTCCTCTGATCTCTTGAGGCTATGAAAGAGAAAATCAATGAATCTTGTCAGGTTAGAAAATGTGACAGGAGACAGTATGACTTCTAGCACATCCAGACAACTCAGAACATTGAGAGAGGGCTGGGCCTGTGTGTTGCTAAACATGATCTAACAGGGGATAGTTTATATCACCGTTGTTACCTATGTTTGACTTTAAATATTCAATATGTTGCACTGGAAGAATTATAATAGAAGACCATCAGTGATATTTAGTTCTAAAAGCTAAATGTCTCCACATACTTGCTTAGAGGATTAAAAGATGAATAGAGAGCTAGACAAGGGCATTATGGAAAGAAGGAACAACATGGTTAAAAGTATCAAGAGCAAGAGAACACACAGGAATGATTTAAAAGTCTTGGAGTGTGGCAAAAAGTCCAGGTAGCTGAAGAGGAGATAGAATAAATGGGCAGGAAGAGATCAGGAAATGTTACCCCTTCTCTCCCAAGGTCAAATCAGTATTTTACACCGAAGGATAAATCTTTAATTATAAGAATTTATTTATATGTTTACAATTTGCAAAGGTATCACTGGCAACATTAACAAGTCAAAACATAAAATGGAGTAAATGAACACCGAGAAACATCTTTAGAGAAAAAGGAGTCAGGAAAATTATTGCAATGGTCAGGGTGGAGAAAATGAATAGTCGGGGCCTCCCTAGTGGCACAGGGGGTTGAGCACCACAGAAGTGGTCCACAGCCTCTGCAGCACAAGTTCAATCCCCAGTCGGCCAGGGAGAAACCCATATGGCAAGGTCGACCTCTCCTGTCTCGCCCACTGCTCCCCTCAGCAGTGTATTTCAGTCAATCTGCCTGTTCTGTTCCCCACTCTGTCTCTGGTGAATCCTCTCACCCTCCCGCACATCTGGCCTGTTCTTGTATAAATAAATAAATCTTAAAAAATAATAAAATGAATAGTTGGAGTTAGGTGGCAATGGAGAACAAGAGAAGAGCACAGGAAAAATAATTGTGCTTCAACTGATGAGTTGAATGGCTGTAGCCGTATGACCTGCAAAGGCTACAATACCTACTGTCTGGACTTGAAAAGAAAGCTTGTAAACCATAGTCTAGACTACGTTTTATAGAGGTAAGTGGATTGTAATCGATGGAGAGAAGCTGAACCTAGGGAAATTTTATGCTTTATGATAGACTATGGTAATACTTATTAATCATGGAGCGGAGACACTGATGGTCTGGGAAAGAGATAACTGAGGCGTTTCAGAGGAAAAAGAAGGTGGAGGAATTAACTTTGAAAGAAAGTGGGACATTTTCCCACATAGGGTTGGTAAAAAAACAAGGTTGGATTTGAATACAAAAGCATTTATCATAAAAGAAGAGGAAAGATCAAAGCACTCATGTATAGTGCCTATTTATTTAAATTTTATATATTTTACATAATTTTTCATTATTGCACAATGTATGCATTTTCATCTTAGTTATAGTCCCCATACCATTCCCATCCCCCTCCCCTCCTTGTTTTGATCCTACTCTCTTCTGCATTGCTGGTGGGAGTGCAAACTGGCCTTTTTTTTTTTTTAAGATTTATTTATGTATGCATATAAGAGCTGGGGCACAGGCCAGAGATGCAGGGGGGCAGGGGTGTGTGTGAGAGGATTCACCAGAGACAGAGCAGGGAACAGAACAGGCAGACTGACAGAAATACACTGCTGAGGGGAGCAGCGGGCGAGACAGGAGAGGTCTGCTTCATCATGTGGGTTGCTTTCTGGCTGGGGATGGAACTCGTGCTGCAGAGGCTGCAGATCACCTCATAGTGTGGTGGTTAATGCCTTTTGCCACCAGGGAGACCCACCAGTGCCTTTTTTTTTTTTTTTATTCTTTAATGCAGGAAGTAAAGACTAAGGGGACAGGTAGAGACCATGAAAAAAAAAAAAAAAAAAAAAGAGCACCTTAAGGGATTAGCAGACAAAAAGGAAAAAAAGGAGAAAGTAAATTACTCAATATTCTTGTCTTTCATAAAACTAAATGAGACTATAGACCAAAGGTTAGAAGTGGCCCTAAGTAACACAGTTTTATGGCAGTTGCTTTTTCGTTTCACACATACCTTGAGGAATGATCATGAGAGAATCCTATTCAAAAACTGCTAAATTGGGCCTCCCTGGTGGTGTAAGGGGTTAAGTCACAGCACTGTGAAGCTATTCACAGCCACTGCAGCGCAAGTTCGATCCCCTGCCAGGGAGCTACCCACATGGCACAGCAGACCTCTCCTGACTTGCCTGCTGCTCCCCTCAGCATTATGTTTCAGTGGATCTGCCTGTTATGCTCCCCACTCTGTCTCTGTTCAATCCTCTCAACCCCCCACCTTTGGCCTGTACCCCAGTTCTTATAT